AAAATGTGTCTGGCATTCAGTCTTTAGAATCTTCCATTCAAACACGTTTCTTTAGCTTTGATGGAGGCAGGACTATTCCTAAATATTGAAGAGATCTGTGAAAATAGGAAATGGAAATATGGAAATGGAAAATTTGAAAAAGAGAGTTGGAAAAGGAGAGAGAGAAATAAAACTCCTGAAGGGCTGAACAGCAAGTGCAATTTGGGAGTCAAGGAAGGAGGAGCTGAAAATTAGAAAGAAATAGCAGAGACCACCCTTAGAGACTTTTGAAGGAGCAGGAGAGCAGAAGGCTAATAGTAGAAAAAAGTCAACAAACTGACAGAGGATGTTGATAAGGAATGACAGCATTAAGTGAAGGAGGATGTGAAGTGGGGAAGTTATATAAAAGGTAAAGTAGAATCCACGTTAACAGGTAACAGTTGAAATAAAAATGTATATGGGCAAAAAGCACTGTGGTGCTCCCTCACCCTGCAAAGGAGTTAAAGGAGCAGATACTGTATCAGCTTTCGTCCTCCTTTAAGTGAAGAAGTGGTAAAAACAAAGCCAAAGCAAACCCTGCTGGCTGTGGCCATGTGTGTGTGTTGTGATTTGTGTCCTGGCCGGCGCTCCTGGCAGGGCTGGTGTGGATACTGTCCCACGGGATCCACAGGAGGGTGTTCATCACCCTGTTCTGGTGTCTGGATTAATGTAGGGACAAAACAAAGGTTTATAGAAACCTAAAACCTGGGAGTACCTTCACTGGGGGGAAGGAGGGGAGCTAAATTCGTTCTCTATATTTATACACAGGGAGGGATCCAGAATTCTACAATGTGAAATTTCTATATGAAATCACTGAAATCTGCATGTCTCTATGCAAATTTTTTGCATGAATAATTATAAAACTCGAGACTCCAATGCGCTTAGCTATGTAAGACACAGCAAATCACTAAGCTGCTAGCTTTTTATTTGTGAAAATTCTGTAAAATATTGTGTTTATCTTTATTTTGTGCATGTGACATTTTTCTTAGACTTAGAAAATTTTTCCTGATGTGATATTGCTTTTCATCTGAATTTGAAAATTCACTTTTTTTACTATTATTTATAAATTGATCAGTTTAGACTAAATCCTTCAGGCCGTGCTGAGACAAAGGATATTAAAGAGTCCATATTTTTATTTCTTAATTATTAACAATAGTTGAAACAAAAAGAATGAAGTAGATTAAACTGTTTTACAATTAGATTTTCATGTCTAACCTGGGTTAGTTGCTGCTAAAAGTACATTTTGCATAAGACCTTGTCTGGGCACTTCTTGTTTAGAGACATGGTTTTGATAGGTGGGAATAAATTTGCTAAGCTTTATGTGCCTTTGAGGATGGCCCATTAATAATATTAATATATAGGTATTTTCCATTGTTGTATGCAAAGCATTTCTTAGAACTTTGAAGCTGAAGTCTTTTTCTTTTTAACACACGGGCCTTTTCAATTTAATCCATTAGCAACTTGGCAAAATAAAGTAATTGTCCAACAGAGGAAGAAAAAAAAATCTATTAACATTTGCTACAAATCCGAGTAGTACAGGCAGCACTTAATTAATGGAACAGATTTCTCACTATGTGTTCAAGCTAACATAGCTATTGTTCAGGAGAGATTAGACCCTTAATGTAAGTAAGTTAAACTAGACCTCCATCTAAAAATATCCGTCATTTCAGCTATTAAAGGTCTGATGTCTTCTTCGGTGACAGATATATTTCCCTTCATTTCCTTGGTTTTGTAAAATGTAAAGTATGCATTGTGTGTAACGCGAGAGCTCCGCAGAGGTAGATGAAACCCCGATTGTGCCTGTCTCTCCCTGCCTGCTCCTTTGTGCTGCTCCCTGTCACAGAGCCTCCTCAGCCCTGAGACCTCCTGGCACCAGAGCAGAGAAACAGAAAATGCCATTTGTCAGGGTATGATGCCAGCCACCTAATCTGTTTGCAGAATGAGGGCCACGGGATCTGATTAGGTAATTTAGATACCTTGAGTTTAATAATACCTGAGCTGCCTTTGGCTGTCAGCCTGTCATTTCACTGGTAGGAACTACCACGTTCTTCCATTTCTTCTGCAAACTTCTTACCTGTAATACCTCATTTAGCCCAAATAGGTGTTAAGGGCTGCAGGTGAGGTATATACCTTTACTTCTCCTATGTGGAAGTTGGCGACAGAGTGGAGGAGGTGAGATTGCACAGTTTTCAATACTTTTTCCCCAGTAGAGTTCCACGTGCAGCACATCATTTTTTCTTAAAAATGAAAATTTTCAAACATGAGATGCTTTGTTTGAACGCTGAACGTGCTGTGCCAGGTTTCAGATGTCAGGCTGTCTCACTGATGTCACTGGCAGTTTTTGAAGCTCGGTTTACCCAAAGTGGTTGTTTCACCCTTGTGGCTGAGACTTTCCCAACTTGCTGCTGCAGCCAAATGTCTCTCTGGGGTGAGAGGCTGACTCTCCCTGGGGGATCACCGGTGTGGGCAAGGGCTTGCAGTGACAGCCTGGGTGCCTCACTTCATGTACCCAAAAGGGAAAATTTTGGCTGCAATTTTAATGCCACATCTCCTCCCTTCCTCTCTCCTTTCCGCCAATTAGCATTTTTTGAAAATTAGAGCCTAGCGAAGCCTGCTAACATAAATAAAAGTGTTTTAGGATTTGTTTGCTTTAATTAAAGTGTGTCTTTCTGAAAGGATTTAGTTAAACATCTTTCTTAAACAGTGCTGTGCCAGTAACAGCAACATTAGTAATAGTGATAAGACTCAGAAAGGGAAACCAACTAGAAAGCAAAATGAAATGTTTCTTTGTCCAAAAAATAAATGATCTTCCCAAGAAAGTGGAGGAAACCCCGTGCAGGGAAACTTACAATTAGGTTGATCAAAACAGTAGAAAACATAAAATATGAAATAAATCCTGCAAAGGTATAGAGCGAGGTTGTGTGAGATCACTCTTTTTGCTGGTTTTATTTTGTTTTCCTCTGTTTTGACTCTTGCTGTTTTTTTTCTGGCAGGACCCAAGATGTTCTCAGAGCTTTCCAAATAGGAAAAAAGTTGCTTTTCATGTAGTGATAAATTATTTTTCACAGTGAAGTTGGAATGATTGTAAGGGTAATGATATTAATGGGATTTATATGAAAGCACCCAATTAAAAAATCGAAACAGTTGCATCAAACATGACTATACAATGTAATAAAATCATATAATAAATATGTGGTCCCATCACCCCATATTACCTAGTTTGATTAATTGAACCTTACACGTGCAAAGATAGTCATTATCAGACTTCTCAGCCATCAAGGAGGAACAGTCTCAATTATTTTCACAATGAAATAATCATTGCTTTTTTTGTGTTCTGCCATCTGGAAAGAGAAAACAGCAACTGCCATGACTGTGAAATGCAAGATCTTGCAGAACTGTACAAAGTTGATTCTGCTTGATGCTGGACTCCTGCAGCCTTAATGTAGGTTGTAATTTATTTAGTTAAATACAAAACATCCTGCTTTTCTCCTCTTTTGGGTGCTTGCATTTCATATATTATTTTTATTTTTTTTTCCAAAAAAGCAAGACTGATCCCTTTCTCTCCAAAAGTATCCCTGTGGCTGCACTGCAGGGCCCTAGGGCTGGTTTACAGCATCTGGTTATGAGATGGCAAATGGGCAGTTTCCTGGTTTTGCTTCAACACTTCCTCGTTTCTTCCTTTCCCTCGGCTGTGTGGTGGGAATGCCGCTTGGAACAATTTGCTCTCTGACACAGCAAGATGAGAAGGTGGGCTCTGGGGCCACATCCCCCTGCAATCAGCTGTGAGTGCCTCTGGAGGTGTCTGAGCTGGAGCAAATCACCTGTGCCTGTAGACCTCCTGTCTCCAGTAAATCATAAGCATCTCAATCTTTTTGTCAGGCCGTGATATGAGAATCCACATCTGAATTTCAATATGAGGGGAGAGAGGCTGATTAAGTGTTTGAGATAAGGTTATGTGACACCATAGGTTAAAAATATCTGAACTGATTTTGGCCAAATGCCTGAGAACCACATTGCACTATATTCAGGTGGCACTGAAAAGCTTCTGAGGAGTTTGCTGTCTTCTGCTTTGTACAAGCAGTTTTCAGGAGTGGTCCTTTAGGAACTGCATCTCTCTTGTTTTACAGTGTTTCTTTGGACTTTGCTGTCCTGCATTTCTTATCTAAAATGTCTCCAACACGTTGGAACTTATTATAAACCCTGACCGTTTAGGAAGAAAAGGGCAAATATTTCTGTTTGGCACAAATGTCTTGAGAAAGACTCAAGTTAGATCCGTGGAATTCTGTGCAGGTTAATTCTAGTTCCAATAAACAGTGCGATTTGTTCCAATAAACAAATACTGTGTTTTAACAAAACAAAAGACCCAGCAAACAAACCCAAACAAACAACCCCCCTAAACAAACACAAAACTGTATAACTTGCAGAGTGCAAATTATAAAATAAAGCAGTGTGCTTCTGGTAAATCTGGGAAATAGACTTAAAGAAATTCTAGAACCTTCTGACTCTTATGACTGTACATAATTTTAGTATTTTACTGGTTGTTTTTTATTCATGACCTGTATTTTTATAAATATTCTTAGTGATGACAGGAAACTTTGGGTATGTAAACTTTGGGTGTAAATAATAGGAAAGACCTGTTAAGTAAAAGGCTTAGATCAGGCAAGTTGGTCTGGCTTGTTTAAATTCTTGCCTGTGTTTAATAGTTTAAAAGCTGTAGATGGAAACAGAAAGATTCAGGATACTGCACTGGATTTGGGGATGTCACTTTTGTGAACTTTATGTTTAAAGACTTCTCTTATTTTTGATGTAAGTTACCATATTCTAAAAGTCTGATGCAGAAATATGACTTTCCTAATGCATTTGATTTACCTTCTTATTTTCCTTGGTTGATTTCAGATGTAAACTTGGCTGCTTATTTTTTCTAACTATACTAAAATATGATGTTGAATGTGTTTATGATGTGTGTTCCTGTTCTTTTACAGATGGGCTGAAGCCAGATACCAAGATGCTTCTTACTGTTGCCTCCAAGAAGAAATCTAAGGGAGGGAAGGGGGATATGACCAAGGAAGATGAAAGCAGCAAGAATGATTCAGCCCAACCTGTTACTATCTCTCTTAGCTTTAAGAGATACGTCTTTGACACGCAGAAGAAAATGATTCAATCCTGAGAAAGTAAGGGAGGCCTCTAATAGCACCTGAAAGTCCAGACTGAAATGATTTGAGGTGGAATGTATTTCTTTTCTGGACACATTAGACTTGTTTCTTCTTCACCAACAGAGCCTGGAAGCTTCTGCTGATTATATGCCCCTTTCCACGATCTCTGCCATCTCATATGTTTGTTAGAATTTGCTTATTTTGTCATCTTTGTGATGTGAATCTTTATGGCATCTCAGGTAATGTCACCTGCCAGATGAGCACATTTGGGTGTACATTGTAATTGCACTGTTTTTCTGGAGAATTGTGTTGAAGTTTCTCTTGATTTAGAAGTTTGCCACCAGTATAAATCTAAATCAAGTCAGGATGTGAATTTCATGTGACCCACAAAGGGAAGCTGATTATTCTAGGCTTACTTCCCTGAGCAAAGCAGGAGACAGAAAGCGCACAGTTTAATAGGTGAAACCTAAAATGGATGTTTCACATTCCTTCAGCTGCAACTATGTAAGATGCTATCTGAAAGATGGTATGGATGTTTTTTATAAATATGATTTATATCTTGAAATGTTTTTCATATTAAACATAATAATGTGTGTGACTGAGAGAGTCTTAATTATTCTGTTTGCTGTTCCAAAGGTTCAGAACCTATCTTTGGTGGCATTTTATATAACTTTTCTGAATTTCCTGCCTGTTCTGCAGTGAATGCTATTCCAGAACTGTTTTCTTTTTTTTTTTGTAACCACAATATCTTTTGTGTGTGAAAGAAAAAGTTGCCTCTGGAAATAGTCAAGGGCTTTATTTCATTAAAATAATGATAGAAGATTGCTGCATAAGCCTTGTAAAATGAATATCTCAAAGATGCTTTAGAAACCATTAGTTGTTTAATAGGGATTTCATGGCTGCTTTAGTTCTTCCTCTCAATTTCGTGTCCTAGGCTCATAAAAAGGAGAGCACTGGTAATATCCCTTCTTTGTTACGTACAAAGTGCAGACACCTTAACATGAAGACTAACAACAATTCTACCGGTACAAAAGCTGTGGTGTGGAACAGAAATTGGACTTGGGCTTGTCAGCATGGAAAATGTTAGTTCCTGCCTTTTGAACAAAAAGAGTACCTCTTGTTGATGCTCAATAGCAGCTTCTGACCCATTCACTGAAGTCAGCCATGGACAGTGACCGTGTGTATAATGTAAGTGCATTAGTTGCACGTGGAAGTAAATAACTAATAAATCACTACACTCATTAATCGTTATTATATCCATTGATGGGCGTGAGTCCATCATGCTAACACGATCCTGATTTTTTTCAATCTTTTCCTTTTAATTTCCAGGTAACCACAGTGGATACAAATGGCAAAGCTATCAGCTGTTGAGAGGATATTTACAGCTGGATGGTCAAGAGACAGGACAAGTCTGGTGTCTAAACTAGGTTCATGGTGCCCCTTTAAATCAGAACAGAATTAGTGCTTTGTGTAATAATCCCAAACAGTTTCTGCTGAGTGAGTCCCAGCAAAGCTTTAGCACATCCCTTAAGATTATGGGGTATGCTTTCAGTGTGATCCCAGAGGAATTAGGCAGGCAACTTCAGCTGTGGCTTAACGTGACTTTGGCTGCCAGCCTTGCTGGAAAATGTATCCTTCTGTAATGGAAAAAATGCATTTCACACCCCTGTCACCTCTCCTTCCCCATTTCTCACTTCTTCCCAGACACCCCCAAAGGCAGTCATTGGAAAGAACATTTATAATGTTATCTTTCTTTCAAGCCTTTATCAAATCCTGTTTTGTACTCTGCACTGTTACCTCTGCCTAAGATGCTGCAGTGATGGAACACAGAGAAACAGATGACATAGAAGGAATGGTGTTATTATCATCCCAGGTTAGTCTAAGAATTATTGGTAGAAAAAAACACCTTCTCATAAAAAAAATTGAAATGAATTGTTAAGGAACTTCTATTTCTATCTGTGCAGTTCTAGTGTCAATGCCAAATTTTAAATAGGTTGCTAAATTCTGCCAACTCTAGAGTATTGGGAAGAAAAGGAAAGTGATCAGGAGAGGTGCTTCCAGAGTTGTTAGCCTTGCAGTTACAGGTTTTTGTCTTCCTCATTTCTAAGGCATTTTTGACTAGTTCTGGAGAAGAGACTGTCAGCGTAAATGGGAATATGTATTTTTGCAAAGGACTACCTAATTAATGTTTTACCCCCTGCACTGTGGATTGGCCAGTGAGTCTGCTGTTATGGAACTTGATCCCTTTGAAAACTCATTAACCCTGAACAGTATATTTGCAACCCTCTGCTTGGCTGAAAGAACTCCTGGTGCTGAGGTCTTGCTGCTGGTTTATTTGCTTGGGATACTTCAAGGGAGGGAACAGCAACAACTTCCAGAGTTGGACCTCTATCCTTTTCTTGTCCAGTCTCTTGTAACCATACTTTTAAAATCTTCCCCCTATGTTCCATCTCATTTCCAGACTAGCATACTAACTCTGCATCTTCCTTCCATCCTCTCAGTCCAAGACCTACCCTCTTCCTCAGTCCTCCTGTTTCCTATCATTGATTCTTCTTTGTCTGCCTCTACTTTTGCCTCTGGAGAAGGAGATGTAAATTTGGGTGCTGGCAAGGCTCCCAACCTGCTGTGGGAGCCCAGCATGGTGGGAAAGGTTCTTGCCCTTCAGCTCACACCAGCCCTATGTGTGTTCAGTAGCTGCCTCTGTTCAGGCTGACTTGGGCAGAGTCTCCTGGACAGCTACCACAGACCCACAGGAGCTGTGCTGAGGGGTGTGTGCTGTGCCTGACATGAGTCCCTTCAGTTGCTGCTGTATCCTGTCCTTCTGCTCTGCCCCTGTTGCAAAGCCCCATCCTCTCATTTTGCTCCCCTTGCAGAGGTTTGTGTACAATGGAGAGCTGGAGAGGAATCTGTTGAAGATTGGGGTTTGGTTTTGTGTTTTTCCCAATATAGAATTCCAAAAGGAGAACTTAAGTGTGCCTAAGAACTTTGATTATAATGTGCTATTACTGCAGATCTCTGGCTGCTGTCCTGAGGCTGTTGGATACACATTTGAAAAAGGGTGAAATGGTGGAACAAAATGATTATGGGAAAATCAAAGCTTTTAAAGACATTTGCAGGATGAACAGATGTTCAAACATTCTTTTATTTGGTTTCCAGACAGACGTGGAGACTTTCCTTTCATCCTCATAATCAGTGCATTATGCTGTAATTTGTAAAAATGGCATTAAAAAAATATTAACAGGGTCATATTGTGATCTACTGACTCTGTGTTATTAAGCCATGAAGTTAAGAACGGCAACTGGGAACATGGGTTAAATGTTGCAGAATGTACTGTACTAGGATACATTGTCAGACTCGATTATAATGAATCCAAAATGGAATAAAGATGTAAGGAGTGTTTTTTAATACTGCTAAGGTTGTCAGTGTTGCAAAACTAGGAATTATTACGGCTGTGCAGATGTTTGGTGAGTAATACATCTTTGGGTTGAGGGGAGAGTAAAAGGGAGAAAAGCTTTGTTTTTACAAGCCTGTTTTCTACTTTTCCTTGGAATTTATTTTGGGACTGCAGTCTGGCTTGTGATCATGCCAGAGGTCTGGAGCCATTAGGGTCAAAGCTGTGTTCGTGGTAGCAAGGATTCAGTAGGTGGCATCCTTTGCTTGGAATCAAAGCTGAGTCTCCCCACCTAAAAAAGGGGGTATGCACTGGAACTGAGAATGAGGGGTTTGAATCAGGCTTGCAACCCAGCTCTCAAAGAACAACTTCTATTAAAATAGAAGCTTGAGAAAAATCTCATACCTTGAGATTTAGACAATTTAATGACTAGGACAGAGCCATCAACTCCAATCTGTTGACCAAACCCTGAGGTACCAGTGTCCTTTCTAGGTGTGTCTCTCTGGTTCTGCTAAAAACAACTTTGTTTCTTAAATCCTGTTTTAATTGCTTGCAAGTACCTGCCTATGGAAAAATGAGCCACCTCCACCAGTGAAGTTCCTGGCATGTATGAGACCTCTCTTTCTGGGCATTGGGCACTTTCCCTGCCTGTTGAACAGTTGAACAGCCACGGGGTGGCAGAGCAAGAGGGAGAGACCAGTGTGGCTGGGAGCTAAAACGGTGCAGTTATGTCCTAGAGCAGCCACGGTCCACCCCAGGACTGCTGGGTGAGCAGCTCTGTGTTTACATCTGTAAAGTGCTCTGGGATCTTGTGAAATAAAGGATTAAAGGCAGCAGAGGAATGCTACCTTATTAACAGTTTCAAAAGCTCTTCATGTTTTCCCTGTAGTTTAATATCCGCAGTGAGCTGGAAAGCTCTTCACGTACAAACACATGAGTTTTAAACAAACTTACTGAGGATATAGAGAGAATAATTTTAAGATAGAAACTAGCACTGTGAGCTAACTTGCCAAGCCTGGGAGAAGGGGAAGAATGGTAGGACTTCAGTTTGTAAGGCCAGTTTTGCTAGATGATGGGCATCCAGAAGGAATCCAGAGGTTTGGGGGAGTTGTGTTTAAGCAAGATATTGGCAGTCTTCTGGGATTCCCCACAAATCCTCCTGCTGTTCTGTGCAAAAATAGGTTAAAAACATCATTTGACACAGTTGTAGGTCTCCTGTAGACAATATGTCAGAGGAGAAAGAGTACAGTGGATCTGCTTATTTCCTGCTGCCAAGGTCAGAATATGGAGTCTTTCCCACACCTGCTGCCTACTGGGCTGGTTTTAGTTCCAGTTGTTAGTGGACTTATAATTTAGGGTAAAACGGATTTTTCATTACTTGGTAAGTATGACAGTTCCTTGTTTTTATTTCTGTGTCTGATATGAATGCTCTTCCAAGGTGATATAATCAGTGTGCAAGGCTCAGATCATCTTCTTCCCCCTCAAGGTGACTGTTGCTTGTCAAAGGTGAGTCCTCTACAGGACACCTTTGTCTCAGGACCACATGTTTCTGATATGCATTTGTATGCTTTTCCTAGTAAATGACAGGAGAGGGAATCTATCAGATTCTTTTCTTTTTGTAGCTCAGGGTCAGCTGTGAAAGGAGCTCACTGACCAGAATTATAAATCCTGCAAGATCTTTGGTACATCTGAGCCCTATACTGCTTTACAAGGCTCATTCTTAATAACATGACTGTCTTTTTGACTACTGAGTCCTTGCCAGTCCTGCCTATTCTAGTTTATATTTCTTAACCAAAAGGTAATTTGAGGTCTGGATCCAGTGCTGCTAAGCCGACAACTGTGGTAGTGACTGAAGTGACTGCTAACACTCTTGCATTGGCATTTTGGCTAAACTGATCTGATTACTTTTGATCCTTTAAGAAATCTAGTCTAATCATCAGCTCTAGCATGTTCTGTTTACATCAGTTTCTTCTCCTTTGATTGGAAGTCATGCAGTCTTCTTGTGTTTGGATTGATCCTGCTTAGATTTCTCAAGGGCCTCATTCATGTCAATCAGAGTCCATCCTTTTTGGACTGCAAAATTGCTTTTATTAGGCTGTATGAGACCCCCATTCAGATGTGTAGGAACCAGTTCTTTAATACTATTTTCTGTGAAAAGTGATATTTTAGTGCCTATAACTTCACTCTGACAGTTAGGAGGAATCCATGCCCTCATGGTGAATTCATTCCCAAAACAGCATTCCATAGGGACAAGCTGAAACTTAAACACCACAGAGTGGTTTTGCCTAAATTTCTTCTTCTTTGCTAAAGTGATCCCTCATCTAGTTTTCTGTCTTAAGCTTCACTTCAACCAAAGCTCAGTTGAACTCTGCACCCTCTGTGAGAATACTGTTTTGTTACCTGGAAAGATCAAGATCTTTCAGAAGCTCTCCCAGTAACTGT